GGGCTCCTCATGTGGTGATAAGTGATCGCGGCTGATGCCGTCAAAGAGTTGCTACAGCTTTGTGGGTGCCAGTATCGGTATTCCATGCCATACTACCCTCTGACAGACGGCTTCACTGAGCACACCAATCGTACCATCATCAACATGCTTTCAATGTACATCGCAGCAAATCACAAGAACTGGGATGCCGTATTACCTTTCGTTACATATGCCTTTAATACCGCGAAACACGAGGTCACAGGTTATACGTCTTTCTTTCTTCTCTATGCTTGTCATCCCCAAAGTGTCCTCAACATCATACTTCCTCTCTCGACGACAAAAACGCCAGTGTCGCGCAGACTTTTTGTCGCGCCGAAGAAGCTCATCAACTTGCTTGGCTCCGAACTCTTTCCACCTACGCTCGCGCGAAAGATTGTTACGACGCAAAACACCCGCCTGTGACTTCCGCTACAGGTGATTTTGTCTGGCTGTGGACGCCTGTTTAAAAGAAGGGACTTTGCCAGAAGCTCCTTTCCAAGTACCGTACTCGGGACCATTCATCATTACTCAGTGCTTGAGTGATGTCACTTACGTCGTTGCAAAAGTGACAACTCAGAACCTGTGTTCGCATAAGACGCAAATTGTGCATATTGCCCGATTGAAGCGCTACCACAATCAATCGCTTCTACTCACTCGATGTGCTTCGTCTTGCCCAGAGGAAAATGTAACGCGGACTGAAAGAGTGCAAAAGAAGAGGAAGAAGGACGGTCTCAAGCGATGGCTATTCAGCAGTGTCGGTTGAGCGTTGGCCTTTCAGTGTAAATGAACCTATCACATCCATAACAATATTATGTAGAATTGTATTAACGAGATTTCACTGTAGTTCAAGCAACACAGGACAACAAAAAATGTAGTACTATGCATTGTACTCAAAATTTTAGCCGTGCATTAAAAAGGGGGGCAAGAATTGCTATGTCAACACATTCGTTCCTAACATGTCTGCATTCTCTCACCTTTGTACACCTATGTTTATTACTCCTTCCCCTCCTCTCCCTGTTCCTATACTTGGCGACAACTTTCTGTGGCAGCTCAGCCAAAGCTACATAAGCGGAGCTTCTGCACATGTGTTACTATGCGAAGTAGTCTGTTTTCGTGCGATTTCGGTTTCGATATAGAAAAAGCATTCAACATGTGCATTTGCACACAAGACCATACAAGAAATGTTACATTTTTTCGGGAGGAAATTAATATGATGTTCATTTTTTAAGGAAAAGAACACGACGCTTCATTTAGACGTTCATACTTATTTCAGAAAAAAAAGGGGGGGCATGGTCGATCAAGAACCGGACAATTAAAAAAAACAACATAAAGGCCAGAAACCATTTCTCAAATTTCAGTTCGCACTTGGTCAGCATCGTTGTTTTCCTTCTTTTAGAGCCGCTAGAACTTTCTGGAGACACTCACGTTATTTTTAGGGGGCGCGAGGGCAACGACAAGAAGCAGAAATTATTGTACCGATCGGTCATGAGTGGGCGTTTGACATTTGTAAATTTAAGTGGGTGAAACATGTGGGAATTGAGGCTGGCCCGCTGCCTTTGCGCGGGCTTTCCCGCCTTTTCTGCCATTCTCATGTCCCGACATGTCTGCCCTCCTTTGCCGTCAGCCGCGCTGGGAAGGGCGGAGTGACGTTTAACTCCCTCACCCGGTAGCGGATGTTGACTGTGGCGCCGCTCGCGGGGACCCCCGAGAGGTTTTCGCGCGCTGCGTCGGGAGCGGCGAGTACAGTCCGGGACTTCAAACGGTGAGCCACGCATTCTTTTCCGTCCGTCGAGTCCCGTCGCTCGGGGCTCGTCGGACTTCGCTGACGGCGCCTCGCGCCCGATGCGAACGCTCACCTTTTGTTGCCCGCTGCGTACTCACGGCCGAAGGGCAGTACGGTGTCCTAGTGCGTGGCCTAGCTACGCCGACCCGTCTCCCTTCGAAGCCAACGCGAGCGCCTTTGCCCTCGCTCGAGCAACCGGGCCCCCTTTGTCCCGGTGTCTCCGTGGATCACCTTTACCGCGGAGACGTGCTCGTGGCACCCCTGTGTAGTACTTTGTGCCCGTGGCGTGGATAAGCCTACTTGCTTTCCCGCCGCGCCTTTTTGCAACGGGCTGTACTGCGTTGGTGTTGCCACAATAAAGTGTTGCGACTTGAGCAGTACCGTGTTTCCCGCCACGGCGACGGTTAACGCGTGCCCTGCGGCTCGCTAAGACCGGACCCACGCTGGTGGCCGTACTCCTTCGGGATACGTGTACACCACAAACACAATCTCTACTAAGTCAAGAGCGCTGTTGTTGCAGTCAACAGTGCAATATACATTAACGCGTTTGTTTCTCCGGTAAAGCTTTGCACTCGTAATTTTATCTTTGTAATTCGCTGTCTTTGCAAATTGCAACAAAACACTCCCTTCGTACATGCCGATGGGAACGGTGTTACAGTACGCAATCTTCAGCATTATCGAATCAACAATATTAGACAGCCGAAATACCGACCACGTATGCAGTGCAATTTAGGGAAATGGTCATTGCTTTTACGTACAGTTTCCAATCACACTTCTCCTTCAAAGCAGCTGGTTTTGCTGAAAACTGGCAGGTCGCCGGTGCCACTTCCAAGGTGGTTATATCGATTAAAGTCCCACTTTTGCTGATGATACCACTCACCGACGTCTTCCTTCTCGGTGATTGCACATGCGAGAAACAAAATATTTCACGACGCACCTGCTGTCTTCTTTCCCTGTTCGATGAAAACAGATCACCTAACGAGCACGCACTCATGCTCGGTCACAAGCTTCAATGTGTACTTGCTGCAACCGAGGGATGCCATCGTTGTTTACCGGGGCAGGAAAGAGTTTCACGTGAAAGGACACCAGAAAACTAGAAACGGCAAAGAACGAAAAACCTGCATGGGTCAAGCTTCCCGATATTAATGCAAAGAACTTTGGCCATAATATATACATCTTTTATTTTTATATTTTCTATTATGCTACACAGTACACAAAAGTTAGCATTCGTGGACTAAATGCAGAAGCGTAGTAAAAAAGGGCGTGCTTGGGCCTTGTAGCCTTGGCTGTGCTGCCACAAAAAGTTGTCGCCGAGTATAGATGCGTAGTGTGCCCATTCTCCTCCACCACTGGATGTGATTTGCAGGCATCTTTCCTGTTCAACTCAAAGCAACTGAAGTCAGCTGCATGCTTGGCCTTTGAGATTTGTGCCATTTTCCTGCCCACAACTTTTCTACTCTGTTTCTCACAAAAATCCTTCTTTCACAAACTACTTCATGTATAGTTCCTTTGTATTTTGTCAGCAGCTCAGAGAAGTTGCGGAAGTTTCAAGCAATGCATTTAGCTTTTTTTTTTTTTGCTGTCTCGAAGTGTTTTTTTCAAGGTGTATCACATGAGGCGAAACATGTGGGGTCTTGAAATAAGACACACTTTCTGAACGCACTGAGACAGCTAGACAGGGTTGAACCAAACATCGTGTACATTTATTTAGTCAACTACTTTTACATCGACGATATCGGCAGCCGCCACCCAGCCTCACCACCAGGCATCACTGCTGTTGCTACCGCGCTAGAGTTACTGTATGTATATGCTACCTTAAGGTAGCAGAGTTGCACCAATACGCCATCTTGGGTTCAAATGTCTTGCGAAAAAGCCACTCACCACCCACAAAGAAGCAGTGCTTGCGCTTCAGAGTACTAGCGTTGCTTTATTTATTTCTTGCTTTCTTTCTATTTTTATGAAAATATGAGCAAAAGGCGGTTGCTCCGGTCACGCCTAGGAGCCTTGACTTTATGCTTACATTCTTGGTATGTATTAACAAAACTAGGTGCGTTGGCTCATTGAACCAGTGAGATATATATTTAGCTTCGTCTTCTATTCTGCTGTTTTTCCCATTTACAGATATAAAATTATTTTTGCACTTTTGATCGTGATCAAGCTAGTTAGGAATGCAATATTTTTCGTCTCGTCGGGCTCATTCGTTAACTGTGTGAGGAAGCCAGCTATAGTTTTACAGTCTTCAACTGAATCGAGCTGGATAGGTATCGAGAGTGGCCGTAGGATGCCACGCGCGCCTCTCAGTATTACGATTGCGGCTCACGACAGCTGATGTGAATCGTAGTTCAACAGCCCCATCATGTCCAGCATTCCTTTCGCTTCAGGTTTGCAAGCTGCATTTAAATTCACGTTCTAGCTGCAACTTCTTCGCCGATTCAAATAGTTCTAGTTTAACTTCTCTTTTTATTTTTGGCATTTTACCCGTTAGGCCAATTTGGACGTATGCAGCTGACACACGCTGACTAATTCTGCATTTATAACATATTCACTGCATCTATGGGTAATACAGATAGAGCAAGTTTTGCAGTGCCGTGGCTAGATAAACAGCCGTTTATTCCTTTTTCGCTGAACACTAATCTTTCTATAGCAACGCCCGCTGCACCTGTGTCTAATCGCATGTGCTGTACTTAGTACAATTCAACACAGAAGTCACTTGCTACCAAATTTCTCGCGACCAACAGGCAACATGGCTTCAGTACCGAAGAAGCGTGGTGAGAAAATAACAGCCGATGTCAATCATACTTGATCTACCTAGAATCGCCGAAGCATCGGTGTCGTCTGCGTAGTGTTGGCTTCTCCAGCAGTGCAAATGAACCACCTATCACCATGTGATGGCGCTCGACAAATAGGAACTGCTGAACTCCTGCAGGCGGAGCGAGCGGCGCCGAGAAAACAGTGGTGCAACTCTGCTACCTAAAGGTAGCATATGCAGTAACTCTACACTGCACTAACCATAATGATGACGGTGATGAAACCTGCGCAAGCACTGCGCCACCTTTGCTCGATGGTTGTTGACCCTGAAATCCGTGAGACACGTGTGTGCCACGAAGTGCAAACAACTTTACAGATGGTGATAGCACTCCCACCAAAATGTGTTCGAGAGAAACACTTGCTTATTTAGTGTCGGTGTCTTTTCCAACAGATGGTACCTTCCAAACTATGAGCAAGCACAGCCACTGAAGTGGGGCCACAACCTTGGCTGTGACTTTGCTCTCAAGAGCTGCAAGGAATGGATAGACAACCGACGAGAAAGGCAAGAAGCTCCTGTGCTGTAAAACATGGGGCTCGAAACCCTTGCTTGTAATATACATCTTAAATGCTGCTCATTATAAAATAAATGACCTAATAATTATACTTTCATGCAAAAAGGAACATACGCTAGTGAAAACAATGAACCCTGTCTAAGTTTTTTCTTTTATAATAGTCTACTGTTTATTCCCGTGAAATTTGCATAAAACGAGTGTGTCTGAGATCTTTTCTGAAAAGCTTACGCAGTATTCTTCATCAAGGGCTATCCGCGTCTATTTCTGGCACTGGAAAGAGCACTTGTGCAAAAACAAGAGAATAAAATTGAAAATGAGGGAAATAATTAGTATAGAATTGAAAACTCTCATAACGAAAATGTTGCTATAAACATTGCGTTGACGTGATGATCGGTAAATCATTTTCGGGGTACATTGTGCTCTATAGGTTTAAGGTAGTGTTAACACATTCACTGCTGCTTGGGTCACCGGTGGGTGCTCCTCCTATGTGGCCACAATGTTACGAGCATGCATCTGCTCGCTGATGCGATGACTTCATCAAACATGAACGCTGAGTGACGGTTCTTGTCGCAAGAGGTTATAAGAAGAATTTTTTTTTTTGTGGGTTTTATGTTATCATAGAATTTCCTAAAATTAAATAGAGGAGACTTTGGCGCTGCGTGGGACTGATGGGCAGTACACTTGTCTTTGTGCTTGTGGGCTTTGAACGCACTTATGGCTTTGTTTATTGCTGTGTTTTGGTTTTGTTTCAAATAAAAGAACCGACCATTGGGAACTGTGTGAGCAGATTTCAATTGTTAAGCCTAGCCTAGGTCAAGGTTATCAAGTGCGGCTGCCAAACCTTTGCTCAACTTTGTGTTGCGGCAACAGCGGGTTCTGGCCACATGGTGCCAAAAGAACGAAAACCATGTCAATCCGTTTGGCAAACCCATAATTTCTATGCATGCTGAAGTGCCATGCGTTACAGCTCTCATATGCCAGAGTTCCTTCTAGTGCATTTATAAAAAACTCTATGGATTCCATGGCTCGCCAGTGGGCACACCTGGAAGATAAGCCGCAGTGGCCCATTAGGGGGGTCATATAAAACGAGAAAGCTTGCTGCAGCGACTGTGTTGAATTGGATTCATATTAGTATGACATACCAGATACACCTTGGGAGCAAATACTGCTGACTGGGCGAGCTGGTGCATGATAAAATGATATTGCTTTAGCGCAGCTCAGTTTGAGCGTGAAGGAAAGATACTATACAGTCAAGAAGGGGAATAAACAGAGGACAGTGTGAGCACTAACTTCCAACTTTTGTTTATTGCGTACCCTTACAAGACATTATATAGCTCATTCCATGCGACGTGGTTGCCCGCTCTAAGGTAGCACGTCTGAAACTCTCGGTTAAGTCCGCCCCTGACTAGCTGACAGACAACTCTCTACGTGTGCTACCAGCTGACAAGGAAGGTGGCTTCTGTGTGCTTCCTACAGGGGTGTTTTGTGAAAAAGCCAACAGTGCCATTGCCAAAGTCTTCAAGCAGTGCGATGAAGTGTCACTAAGCAAGGTAAAGTCCTCGGCTATTAAGCTATGCAAGAACTTCAACCCTGGTAAATCAGAGAAGTCAGTATCAAACAGCAAAAGGAACCACCTGTTGGTTCAATTCAGTGCAAAAACCCATAAAGTTGACGTTCAGTTCCTCTAAGGGTTATTGTGTCAGAATACGATTCCTGTTAGAAGCCAGTTGCACTGTTTTTACAAGCCAAGCTTAGTGTTTGTCCATAAAAGACCCCTTCCTGATAAGGGAACTCTATGAAATAATCAATTTTTTAGAAACTAACGCTCACAAAGGTTACCGAGCATTTTCCATTGACATCAAAGATATTTTTTACTCCATTCCTCATAAAGAAGTGCTCGAAGTAGTGGAATAGTCCATTGATGAATATGGTGCCATAAGGTTCCAGAATGACGCCTCGATATCTAGTAGTGACTTTTTAGAGCTTTTACATTTTTATCTCGTGTCAACTTTTATAAAATGGCACGATGCTGTTTATCTACAAAAAACGGGCGTATGCATAGGATCGTACATTGCACCCATACTGAGCAATCTTTTTCTCGCCCGTCTTGATGTTTTGCTGTCTGATAAGCTCGCTCAGACAAAGGTACGAAAGGTTTTTCGGTATGTGGACGATTTCTTGTTCTTTATTATGTGTTTTTCAGTTGAGATTGAGCCGCAAGCTGCAGAAATTCTGGCAATAATGGAGGAGTGTCTTGTACCACTCGAACTGACGTACGAAATGCCGCAAGAAGGCACAATCCGCCTTCTTGACCTTCGTCTTTCTTGTTCGTTTGAACACACTTGCTGGTGCTTTGAACCATGGTCGGAAAAGCTTTTGTTGCAGTACAATTCGTCGCATTCAAAGCTAATAAAGCGAGGGATTGCCAGGTTATGTTTTAGAAATGGTCTGTGGAAGTCAAGCTGTCACACTATGACTGCTAGTTTTGGAAGACAAAGCAAGCAATTATTCTTGGCAGGCTACCCAGTGTTGGTGCAGGTGTCGGTAGCCGAGTGCCTGTTGAATAGTCCACGAATGCAGGGACGACCGCAGACCAATGGTGAGCACGATGCTGGGAAAACCAGTGTGATTCCGTACGTACATCAGATTTCACACCATTTGAAAAAGATAGTCCTGAGAGGAAATGTCCGCATGGTGTTCTCTGCTCTAGACAAACTAAGTCGTCTATGTAAGAGTACCAACCTCAAGAAGGAGGTGCAACCCACTTGTGGAAAGACGCATGTAACTAAGTTTGTTGAATGCGCCCTAGCTGTTGTGTACATGATCCTGCTGTCGTGTGGCGTGGTTCGCATTGGGCAGACTGGTAGGTGTGTTAATGACCGCTTGCGCGAGCACTCTTGCAATGTAAAAAAACAAGCTTTCTTCTGGTGGTTTCCTGGCTATGCATTGTAAGCCATGTGGATGCGCTGCATTCTTTGATCAGTGTGTAATTTTGGGCCGCAATCGTAACCAGTTGACGAGGGAAATTATTGAGGTGAACGCTATTGCAAAATGTGCGAAGCTGTTTGTGAATATGCCGTCTGTGGCCTTATCTCAAAAAGAGCTCAATTTTCTGGAGCGCGTGCTGTGAAGCATTAGTGTAGAATTGATAATTTGTAATCAGATCACAACTAGGCTTCCTTGATAGTGTGGTGTGTCACACGTGTGCAGTTTGGTCATGTGTGTGGCATCACGTGAAATGAGCTATATAATGTCTTGTAAGGGTACGCAATAAACAAAAGTTAAGAGTTAGCGCTCACACTGTCTTCTGTTTTTTCCCATTCCTGACTGTATAGTATCTTTCCTTCACACTCAAACTGGGGAGCAATAAGCTTACCTTTTATTTTGTGCTAAGTGCTCAAGTTGAAATTTGGCAGCCCTTGACACTTGATAAGCTGATAATTTTGGTCATAAATTCAAAATAATGGAAATGTCTGAAATATCCTCTCTGTTGGCAACTTTCTCATTCTTTTTTGCCCAGGGGCCAGACCATCCATCCCTTTTGTGACAAAGTGAAAAAAGACCCTTTGGAAACGGAGTGCACAGAGAGCCGAGATTCTGTTGCCTTGTGTAATCTAGTCGACCACGGTGAATACTTGCACAAGAAGTTTCAGGTAGGTTGGTTTAAAAAGTCTCGACTAATTACATTATGAACTTAATAGTAAGGAAGCGTATCTCTTTCCATGCGAACCTTCACAAGATGCGTTGTGACACTATGTCTGGAATTGTGCTAGAGCACACTTGACACGATAACTGTGAAACCCAAAATTATGAATGTCATAACGACTTACGTCCTGACTGAACTATAAATTGTTATCAGTTGTTGAAAAATGGCTTTTTATGCCCTTACATGCAGGGGTGAAAGTGCTGCTCATAAGTGTCAATTATGTCAGTTATGTCAAATGTCAAATTTAACCTAGTCTGAACAACACGCGTTTCGACTGAACAACACGCGTTTAATACACGAAGCACGCAGTCATATTCATATCTCGTCACAATGTTCTTAAGCGCCTAGCACATTTTGTTTCAATCAGTGGAATGAACACATGAAAACAGGAAGGCGTAACACAAACACAATTTTCATTGCACACTACCAGATATTACAGTAATTACTCGCACAAAAGGCCAATTCGCACAATAGGTGCAATATCAACTTGGTGGCGAGAAATCAGATGTTTTTCATTTTCGTGCATAAGGAGCGCATTTTGAACTTGGCCGTAATCAGTATTTCTGTACTGTATTGACACAGTTTGTGGGGTCTCAAAGTAGAGAGCTCCACCATGCTCTTGGAGTGAACGGACACAGCCAACACAGTCTGAACGAACCAAAACAACATTAGACACTTAATTAACTACTTTGGATCAACGATATCGTCAGCCCAATTATTATAACATCAATTGTGACCAACATGCTAAGGCATTCTTACACAATATTAAACAACACGACAAACAAGTCTTAAATCACCACGTGGGCCCATCGCTGACGACCCGCAGTGCCGTCCACGGCAGACCCACAGCTGGAGGTAACCGTCCGCTGCTACCGCCCCACGCCACAAGAGAGCAGCTTATCTCTTGTGCGCCACCACCGCCGGCGTCACCGCTGGCGCTAACATTTTCTAACCATGATGTTGGTGATGGTGGCGATAAATGCTCACGAGCACGACGCCATCAACCGCTCAATAGTTGTGACCCTTAAATACGGCGCGTGTGCGATGTATGTATTATTGTGCATATGCCCTAATTTCTCGGTAAGTAGGGCACTGCTGTTGATAATATTGTTGAATTGTTATTTGACTTCAGTGACCCTTTGAGGGGCTAGTAAACAACCCCAAGGTCTAAAATAATTAATAAAAAGAAATATGCACACTTTTGCTATGTGAATATGCTGCCGCAAGAATTTTACGAGTACAAGCTATAATATAGAAGTTACAGGGCTTAGAACATTCGTTACAGGTGACTTCAAATGTTCGCGTGGCTACTCCCCAACCTTCTCTGCCATAGGGAGGGGAAGGAGTAGCTCGTTGTCGTGACTCCACCCACTTCAGCGACATGACATGAGGCGCGCACAGGTAACGACCGAGCCGAGCTTCCCCCACATGAGCACATGTCACAACAGTGTGGGCAGGAAGCGCGGTTCGAGGAGCACTCTTACCGTATCGGTAATGCAGGGAGACGCTTTCATTCTGGTAATACCGCTTTTCCCGGAGTTGCAGGCTCTACAAAGCGACAGAGGGCAGCACAGAAAAATGAAAATGCGGACTACGCGGCTGGAACTATATCACTGCTGGACCAAGGCGCTGTTTTGTCGGGAAAAGAACCAATCTACAAGCTCAGTGGTGCCTAACGTTGTCCATTGGCAAACTTTTGTCAGACTGCATTCGAGGAATCGGTCAGACGAGGGAAACACGCATGGGATTGTTTTTCGAAATAGAGGGTCTGTGCAGTGCGATAATTGGCAAATGTGATCGCCGTTGTGTAACAAAAAAAGTTGGAGCCTGTTTACTGGCCCTTTAACACGCGGTAAGATGTTATCGCATGCGCCCTCCAACCGACAGAAATTGGCCGGCTCGTTTAATCTGCGCTTAAGCAGCGCTCGTCACACCCACTCTCATTAACATTTTTCATTTGTATGTGGTGTAGTACCGTTCCAAAGCATCGCTCATGTCTGCTTTCTATGCGTTACTGCGCTTTCAGTTTTGACGTTTTAATGTTTAGCATATATCGATTTGTGGTAAGTCTGGTCGCCTTATTAGTAACTTTTTGTTTACTGGAAAGAAAAAAAAAGTTAACAGTGTTGTGTGACCCTAGAAACATGCTCCTAAACTAACTTGAATTGCTAAAAAACACACCTCTTGGTGCTCCAAAGGGGATCACAACTCCCCTTTTACTGCTCGAAAATCGCATTATTTCTGCTCCCTGAGCTGCTCCGTAAAACTGAAGCTCGCTTCCGCCCCTGCGCATATAGCTTTGAGAACTCTTATGATGTGTTTTCAGCATGGTTGGCAGCCAGCATAAAGCTCCCTTTTTAGAGACAGCATCCAAAACAAATATAATAATAAGCTGCATATCCTACAAAAATGTATTTTGCGAGTTATTGAAAATGTACCTAATACGACTCCCTGCGTGCCACCTTTCAAGGTTAATAATATATTAACAATGCAGCACATAGTAAAAAGGAAGATATGGATTGCAATGTTTCAGAAAATGGAAGTTATGCCAGGATAACTTTCATTGACAATTGCTGTCAAAGCGACGCAATTACGAAACTTGGACAGCCATGTATGAAAAAGGTTTTACACGGACTAACTATGGCATGCAGAAGCAATCTTGCATAATAGAAGACTTATTAAGTCATCATTCTGCCATTATAAATATGGCACAAGAGACGATGCACATGAAGTGCTTCAAAAGAAAGTTAGCTTCATACCTTTTATCATAACAAAAATAATTCTTTGTTTTTTCTGCAGTCCGTATTTACATTTCTGTTGTGTTCTTATATGTCTCTACAGCACTTGTATAATTGTATTCATCTTGTATATAAGTGGATAAGTGACTTTTTGAAAGGGGAAAAAGGAAGAAATAAACACAGTTCTGTTACTACTTCTCTCGCAGTGGACGGCACCTCCACAGTTCTGCGCAGGGTATAGGGTAAGGAGGGATTAAAAAGGATAGGGAGAAATTAAATAGAGATAGAGAGAGGGGCAGGAAGAGAGAGAGGTGCAGGGAGAGCCACATACGGAAGTAAGGAGAAGATAGGAAAGGTGGACACGGTTGCAGAAGTCCGAGGACGGGGCACCACTCAGCGAGAACTCTTGTCGGCGTCAGGAGATGGCATAGGGCAAGCCAGTCGATTAGAGCTGCTCTGTCGTCGGAGATCGCGGGGGCACAACCGGTCAGCACGAAATCCAGCGAGCCAGTGTATCTTGTATATGTATTACCAAATATGTATTATATATATATATGATCTTGTGTATGTATTAACCTGTGCTCCTGTAACAGCCTCTGTCTAGATAGGGGTGTGGAACTCAGTCAGGCATGCTTTTTGTCACCCTCCTAGACTAGACAAAAATGTACAAAACTTGCAACACCGTGTTATGTCCACCTGTCACCAGAGTCAGCCAGCTTGGATGCTAGAGTCACACATAGCAGCACTGACGCTGTAACTGACTCTTAAAGCAAGAGGCAAGCTTGGTCGTGGCAGCTGTATGCAGAATCCACACTTTGCCACGTTCATTTAAGATGATTGGGCTTCAGGTTCTGCAGAGCATCGATGTTTTCGTCCAGGGGGCTATAACATGCAGCCTGTAGACAATTTGCTAGCAGATCACAAGAAATAAAATTATAGTCACTTTGCTAAATGGTACTTCATTACTTACTCTCCTATTCCGATTAGGAATGCTGTATTTTCGTGAGGTGCCTCATGTAGTTGGCATGTGTTGAAACGTAACTGCAAAACAATATCATTATATTTCACAATGTCTATCCAGATTGTAGTGAATATTAGTGTCGATATGTTTCTGGAATACTGACAACAAATCTGCTTCACAAATGATTCATGCATGAGATATGAGAATGCTCTTTTTTTCTAATGGCAGTGTTTGGTGACTTCACCCCTTCCATGTAAACCTTGTTCAATGTTCCGGCCCTTGCACAACTAAATTTTGTAACTGCAGCCTGATAGCTGAATTGAGTTTGAAACTCCTGTTTTAGCCCATGAAAACCTCATCCATATAGTGTGAAAGCTGGACAGGTCAGGTCATGCATACATTGAGGTAATTGTAGTTAAGGCACTCTGCAAACAAATGTACCTATTAGTATATATACCAGTAATATACACCAGCTACATTTCATTGGGATGAAGCTTTTACTTCTTTGAATTCTGCAATTAAGAGACTGGCTGCTTAGGGTTGTAAGATGAGCTAATACACAACATGGAGGCAACAGCTGTGCTTGCAAAAATTAGAAGGAAAGAAAGTAAAACGGTGTTGTTTCAAATCTCACCACCTCCCTCAATTTGTAACGCAAGGAGAAAAGGTGAAAGGAGTCTATGTCCTATACTGTCACGATTTATCTCAGGGACTGTATTGAGGGATGATGGTAAAGCACTCAGCATTCACTAACGTTGTATGTACACACCAGTATACAACGGACTGAAAGCAGAACTAATGTCAATCTGCATTAGAGCCAACTCTAGCCTTAGCCTGGTATCTATTCAAGATGGCGTTTCAGTACTGAAATGCCCTTACAGCTTGTTGCGTTGCCACGTCAACTCAGTGCCCTTGCCATGTCGACAATCCGTCGCTTGTGTCGACGTCTTCCCCAAGTTCCTACCAATGTGGTCCTTTTCCGCCAAATGAGCCGCTCGACCTCATTGCTGGTTGGTTTTGGTCTTCGTCAGATTCTCCAGCTCAGTTAGGCTATGCCTAACTCGTCAGTGGCGTCTTTACTGTGGTGTGGGCTGCATCTGTTCTGGCTCAAAGCGGAAGAGCTGTAGTTCACCCAGGAACTGCTGTGACAGGTTGTTGCAAGTTCGGGCAGCCTCACTCAAGTCTTCCGAGATTGACGGCCACTCAATGGGCATGTGCACCGACAGCCTCGAAGCCGTGCAGCTCTACTGTTTCCGTTGTGATAGTGACGATGGCCTTCCTGATCTTTGCAGTTCGAAGCCCCGACGCACAGTGACAGCTCATCCACCAGGATTTCCCATTACGGCTTAAGTCGGGTGCTATGAGCCTTTTTTCAACCAATATCGTACGTGCCCGTGGCGCGTCTGCCCATCATCGGGGTCTCGCGCATGTACATTCGCACTCCAGCGCCCGGCACGTGCCCTCTTTCTCTTGACATATACTAATTAGGATAATGTTGAGAATAGGTGTCATCAAAACAGCTGTTCATGTGCACCCTAGCGTTATATGATGAAAAACAGGGGCATCAGATTTTTCCATCTTCCTCCTCCTTTGGCTTTCATGGACTAGTATTATATAGTCACTCTAATTGGAAAAAGAAAGAATTTTGCTTGGATCAAGAATATGCGAAATGGTTTCCCCCGGCGCCCTGCAAATAGTGGTGTAGTGAAAAGCAGTGTAGCTAATAGCAGTGTGGCTATCTTCTGAAATGATGAAAATTGACATTTCAGCCACCAAATATTCTCACTCAACCTAAAGTTTGCAAGAAACAAAAATTATTTTCCAGTACGCTGCACAACTTACGCTTGTGAGGTGCCTCATACAGGATTGCACTCATGAACTTGTATCTTATTTTTTTTTACAGAATTTCGATTATATCCCCGGTGTGCCTTCCACTGACCTTGGCAGATATGGTGGTTCCGTAATACTGGCCGATTATTGCCCTTACATTCAGGTAGGCTGTACAAAAAGAAGCGTTTTGCCAGTTTTTAAGTTATTATGATTTTCAAGGGTCATCTTGGTATTGCTGCTGTTGTTCTCAACTCCAGTGTGTGCCACTCGTCTGTTCTAGGAGTTCACCTGGAAATCGAAAAACACTGTTGTACGAGGATCACAGTGCCAGTTCGAAGAGAACAATCCTCGTGAGTTAACGACTTTTATTGTAAATTCAAGAAATGTGATGTTCAACATAAAGTGCAAGAGATTCAGCATGTGGCCGTAGGTTGTTTTCCTAATGTCTATGCCGCACAACCATATTGGTGTATTTTATGCTTCACAGTGCTCCAGCTCTAACTTTTATGGGGCGAGTAAACAGCCTAGGCGTCCAAAATTTCTAATGATGAAACAACCGTGCACTTGTACAATGTGAACATGCTGCCGCAAGAACTTTGTTAATAAGTGCTCTTATAAGGAAGTTACAAAGCTTGGAATGACCCGCCTTCGCAGGTTCTGGTGTCTCGCTCTTCCTTCTCAATTTTTTTTTCCCCAGCAGAGAGGTGCAGCCCTTTGTTGCAATTGCGCCCACTTCGTCAATTTAATGCTGCATTAGTGATGAGTCGATGCATGGGGCTTCCCCCCATAGGGAGAAAGTACAATGTGGGGAGCCCTCTCTCCTCTTCATATTAGAGGCTTTCGCTCTGGCAGCACCCTGCAGTCCCAGGCTCCACAACACTGCAGAGGGCAACACGTGAAAATGTGCACTGAGCGGCTAAAACTGCATCGCTGCAGGGCCACGGTGCTGTTTCGTAGTGCAAAGGACCAGTCCATAAGCTGAGTAGTACACAATGTTGCTCATGGGCAGGATCTCACCACAGCACATGTGAGGATTGGACAGGCATGGGAAAGACAGGCGGCAATTATTTTTCTAAATGAAGGGACTGCGTGGTGCACAGCGTTGTAGTATTTGCAAAATGTGATCACTGTAGCTTCTAAGTTAGCGTGTCTGTTTGGGGGGTGTAAATGAAGTCTGAGCCTGTTTACTGGCCTTATAGTAATAGTACCACTTTCATTAGATGGCACAGGGAGATGTTTAGGTCACACAAAGTGCGCAAATGCTGGCTCGTTGTCATTGCCAATTTTTCTCATCTAGAAAATTACTGAATAGAAATAAGCCGAGCTGAATAGCGGCGTCTGCAGTACGTATAGTAGTTACTTCAAACCGACATGTTGCTTTAAAAGCTGCTGGGCCTGACAGTTGATCAAGGGTTGAAGATGAAAGACTAATATTTGCCTGAATCGCCTGTGGTTAGATATAATATCTACACATTAAGGGACACTAAAGGCAGTTATTAAGTTGATGTTGAATGCTGAAGTAGCAATTCAGAAACCCCATAGTGCTGCTTTTGTGCCAAGGAAGTGCTTATTTTGAAACAAAGTAACGTTGTAGTAGTCCTTCACATTCCCTGCCTGGAAGTGGTCCGTCTCATGTCACTGTTGCTGTGTGCACAATGTTGCCTAGCTTTACTGCACAGCTGCCAGCACTACTAGCAGCAGAGCGAAAGTAATGGGAGCCACAGCAGCAACAATGGCCATTGAACAATTTTCTGCCATCTCGGAGACCATGGTTCTGCTTATTTGGTTCAGCTGGGCTCGACTAGATGGCACCACCTGTCCAGCCTAACCAAGCGAGAATGGAATATTCTAACCACTCGTACTATTCCCCATAAAAACGCTGTAGTGTTGTTGTATTTTGTTGTAGGAATCTTAGGGGGCGCCACTTACGCTAACTCTAGTAACCCACTAACATAGGGCGCCACTGAGTGCGATGTTGGGCGCATCGTCTTTTTGTTACTCTCAACAAACGCCGAGTGTTTTTCTTTCCATAAATCAAACTGAAATGGACAAGCAGCATTTTATTATGTCTCTTGATTCTGAGAAGGTTCTATTTTTTATTGAAGCTTGTTTACTAGTGATTAATTGTAGTTGGACACTCTCACGTAATCGGGATCATTTTGTAAATGTCTCACTCGTCGCACACGTTATGGGGTACATCTTGCTTAATTTCTCGGTAAGCAGGGCACTGCTGTTGATAATATTGCCATTTTATTGCCATATTAAATGTCGTATATTGAGCTTTCACCGAGACATAAAATCTTATACGCTTTTAGTGTCCCTTTAAAGAATGGTGTGCTTATCTTTTCCATAAAACATGTATGCCAGGCAATAACTTGAGACGTGCTACATACTGGAAACTGTGTAAAGTGTGATCAAATATTAATTCATGGGGATTTACGTTCCCATACTATCATATGATGATGTGGCATGCTGCAGTGAAGAACCCTAGAAATTTCTGCAGCCTTGGTTTCTGTAACTTGCATGCGGGCCTCTAACATTTTGGCCTCCATTTAAGATGCTGTGGCTGGACGATGATAGTTATAGCGCGAGAACAAAACGACGACACAGAGACGACAAGGACAAGAAGGACACAAGCGCTCATGTCCTTCTCGCTCGTGTCCTTCGTGTCTTTCTTGTCTCTGTGTCGTCGTTTTGTTCTTGCGCTATAATTTGTGGTGTACACGTATCCCGAAGGAGTACGGCCACCAGCGTGGGTCCGGTCTTAGCGAGCCGCAGGGCACGCGTTAACCGTCGCCATGGCGGGAAACACGATACTGCTCAAGTCGCAACTCTTTATTGTGGCAACACCAACGCAGTACAGCCCGTTGCAAAAAGGCGCGGCGGGAAAGCAAGTAGGCTTATCCACGCCACGGGCACAAAGTACTACACAGGGGTGCCACGAGCACGTCTCCGCGGTAAAGGTAATCCACGGAGACACCGGGACAAAGGGGCCCGGTTGCTCGAGCGAGGGCAAAGGCGCTCGCGTTGGCTTCGAAGGGAGACGGGTCGGCGTAGCTAGGCCACGCACTAGGACACCGTACTGCCCTTCGGCCGTGAGTACGCAGCGGGGCAACAAAAGGTGAGCGTTCGCATCGGGCGCGAGGCGCCGTCAGCGAAGTCCGACGAGCCCCGAGCGACGGGACTCGACGGACGGAAAAGAATGCGTGGCTCACCGTTTGAAGTCCCGGACTGTACTGTCCGCTCCCGACGCAGCGCGCGAAAAACCTCTCGGGAGGCTCCCCGCGCGCGGCGCCACAGTCAACATCTGCTACCGGGTGAGGGAGTTAAACGTCACTCCGCCCTTCCCAGCGCGGCAGACAGCAAAGGAGGGCAGACATGTCGGGACATGAGAACGGCAGAAAAGGCGGCAAAGCCCGCGCAAAGGCAGCGGGCTAGCCTCAATTCCCACATCCCCCTCTCCTAAATTTGCCCTTTACCGGTCCGCAAAAGGCAGCCGGACGTCACCCATGCAGTTAAAATGACACTGCTATGAGCGACAGCTAACCTCAGTCCAGCCCTGTTACTGCTGCTAAAAAAAAGATCACAAATGAGAAACAAAACATAAATAACAAAGTAAACACATGACACTATACAAATAACTGCGGAAGGGAGCACAGCAACGTGGCACTAGTGTTCGTGGTGCTGAAGGGGGATAGCGTCCAGTGCGCGGAGGGGCGGAAAAGGGCGTGACAGTGTCCGCTGGGTGCGATGCCCGAGTGCGAGGTCAGAGATACGGGAGGGGGCTCACTGATGGCTTGTTGCTGCTCTTGATAAGCCGCGAGTCCGACGAAAGCCGCTTCGGTTGTTCGGAGGCCCCGCATTTCTGGCTCGATGAGGGAGCTGGACGTTGCGGGAAGCCGGGCCTCTCCGGTGGTCAGGGAGGCCGAACCAAAATTGGCTGCGAGGCGCCCTGGCGTTGGCCGGCAGCATATAGCTGCTTTCAGCTGGCCTCGTCCAGGAGCCATGGTGGGAAAGGCAGCACGGCTTCTTCGGCGACAGCCGAGAGCAGAGCACAGCCAGATGGTCTGACGTCAGTGGGTCAATGACCCCCCAGCACCTCCAGCGTCCGCGTCGATGGAGGGTAGCCATGACGCACTCTTCGCGGGCTCGCACCGAAGCGTCACGCACTCACACACACCGCCGACAGCTGCGCAAGCGTAGGCGCAAAGCGTCCTTCGTCTCTCTCACTCCCGGCAAGCACCGACACGCAAGGTCACACACAGCTCCCTTCGCGGTAGACGAAACGAACGCGGAAAAAAAAGTAAAAACAGAGCAAAACGACACTCAACATCTGGCGAAAAACATAAAACACAAATAACACTTAATATTAGACAAAAATAAACATAAAATACACATGAACACTTCAAAAAAAAAAAAAACACTGGCAGCAGACAGGGCGGGGTCAACTCCTTTACGAGAAAAGGCCGTAAAGAAGCTAACCTATACTGAGGCTAGACAGTAAACTGAGGGCCTTCGGTTGCGGAGAAGTCCGCCGTCCGGCGCGAAATCACAAAGGTGACCGCTTCCTCAGATTATACCGGCGCGGGGTCCGAATGCGGTCCGCCGCTCCGGGTGTGCCCCGTTGCTGGCGCGCAGTGCCGCAGGGCTCTGGCGCGAGCTCGTCAGACCGTGATACAAAGGGTTTCAGGTCTACGATGTGGGCACGGCTGAGTTTTCCCAAAGGGGATCTTTCAGCTAGTACGCGCCACGGACGCTCACTGACAATCGGTTCATAAGACCGGGCGGCTTTCCACCCCTTGGCTCAACCGTTTGTCAGACGTGGCAGGCACGGAATAGCGATAAAAGCCACACTTCGTGCCGGGCCAGGTCACAACATCGCTCAGTTTGCAAAAACTTTCGAGCCACTCAGGTGACCGGCCATGGATTCGTCGTTAGAGGATCGCAACAGTGCGGCTCTCAGACTTTTGGGCATAACCACCTTAAACGGGTCTACGGACTCGTCGTCAGTGGCTATATAGTTCAGCAGGAGCCCGTCATGGTCCAGCAAAATGAATCCGCCGGGGACTCAGCGACACACGCTGTTTCAGCCCCCTAATCGCGCCCGCCGCAGAACAAGCAGCGTAACGGCGCTCCGCGCCTCGTCAAGACGGTTTACGGCGCCCGCCGCAAAGCAAGCAGCGTATACGGCGCTCCGTCCCTCCGAGACTCGAAACGGATCCCTCTGCTGAGCCTTCAGTAGCTCTTCGCTGCCGAAAGCAATTCCCATTCTCCCAAATGGGGGAGTCTGGTATCGCGCCCACTCAGGACCGCAGCAACCGCCGCGTGAGTCGGCGTTACGGGTTCACTCTCGGCCTCGTGGCCTTCGGAAAGCTCCCCCGCTCGGCCGCTTCGCGGTGCGCCGCTTACCTGGTTAGCAGCCAAGGTTTGTCCACATGGGGACTCACCCTTCTCGCCGAATGGCGGCGAAGCTGCTGTTTCGCCCCCGACGCTTGCATGTGCTAAGGCACCGCGAGCGGCCGTCGCACCGAAATCCAGGTTCTCGGCAGACAACAAGGGGCACGAGATAGCGCGTCAGCTACCACGTAGGAGTGTATTCACCACAAAAAGGGGTGACGACACAGGCGAGCGCTGAAGGGCGCCCGTCGATAGAGGCGGTGGCCTCTTGGTGCAACGCGGCATGCCACGAAGCAGACATAACGTTCGGGTAGGGCAAGAGGCCCATTCCGAAGCGACGCGCCATCTCCAAAGGGAGCGGCTAGGCGCCTCGTGTCGTCACCGCAGTAGGGGGTGCCGACACGGACGGGCGTCGGAGGCGCTTGTGCGTAACGTTCGGGTAGGGCAAGAGGCCCATTCCGAAGCGACGCGCCATCTCCAAAGGGAGCGGCTAGGCGCCTCGTGTCGTCACCGCAATAGGGGGTGCCGACACGGACGGGCGTCGGAGGCGCTTGTGCGTAACGTTCGGGTAGAGCAAGAGGCCCATTCCGAAGCGACGCGCCATCTCCAAAGGGAGCGGCTAGGCGCCTCGTGTCGTCACCGCAATAGGGGGTGCCGACACGGACGGGCGTCGGAGGCGCTTGTGCGTAACGTTCGGGTAGGGCAAGAGGCCCATTCCGAAGCGACGCGCCATCTCCAAAGGGAGCGGCTAGGCGCCTCGTGTCGTCACCGCAATAGGGGGTGCCGACACGGACGGGCGTCGGAGGCGCTTGTGCGTAACGTTCGGGTAGGGCAAGAGGCCCATTCTGAAGCGACGCGCCATCTCCAAAGGGAGCGGCTAGGCGCCTCGTGTCGTCACCGCAATAGGGGGTGCCGACACGGACGGGCGTCGGAGGCGCTTGTGCGTAACGTTCGGGTAGGGCAAGAGGCCCATTCCGAAGCGACGCGCCATCTCCAAAGGGAGCGGCTAGGCGCCTCGTGTCGTCACCGCAATAGGGGGTGCCGACACGGACGGGCGTCGGAGGCGCTTGTGCGTAACGTTCGGGTAGGGCAAGAGGCCCATTCCGAAGCGACGCGCCATCTCCAAAGGGAGCGGCTAGGCGCCTCGTGTCGTCACCGCAATAGGGGGTGCCGACACGGACGGGTGCAGAAAGGTTTCCGTCCATAGAGGCAATGGCCTCCGTGTGCAACGCGGCATCCGCTAAAAGGGACAGCGGACAAAAGTCCCGCGAAGCAGCCATGTTGCGACGAGCCCGAATCGCGCAGGCGAACTGACTCGCTAAGAGCAGTCAAAAGCTAGAGCTTTTGATACCGCGTTGGGCGCCAGTGTGGTGTACACGTATCCCGAAGGAGTACAGCCACCAGCGTGGGTCCGGTCTTAGCGAGCCGCAGGGCACGCGTTAACCGTCGCCATGGCGGGAAACACGATACTGCTCAAGTCGCAACACTTTATTGTGGCAACACCAACGCAGTACAGCCCGTTGCAAAAAGGCGCGGCGGGAAAGCAAGTAGGCTTATCCACGCCACGGGCACAAAGTACTACACAGGGGTGCCACGAGCACGTCTCCGCGGTAAAGGTAATCCACGGAGACACCGGGACAAAGGGGCCCGGTTGCTCGAGCGAGGGCAAAGGCGCTCGCGTTGGCTTCGAAGGGAGACGGGTCGGCGTAGCTAGGCCACGCACTAGGACACCGTACTGCCCTTCGGCCGTGAGTACGCAGCGGGGCAACAAAAGGTGAGCGTTCGCATCGGGCGCGAGGCGCCGTCAGCGAAGTCCGACGAGCCCCGAGCGACGGGACTCGACGGACGGAAAAGAATGCGTGGCTCACCGTTTGAAGTCCCGGACTGTACTCTCCGCTCCCGACGCAGCGCGCGAAAAACCTCTCGGGAGGCTCCCCGCGCGCGGCGCCACAGTCAACATCTGCTACCGGGTGAGGGAGTTAAACGTCACTCCGCCCTTCCCAGTGTGGCAGACAGCAAAGGAGGGCAGACATGTCGGTACATGAGAACGGCAGAAAAGGCGGCAAAGCCCGCGCAAAGGCAGCGGGCTAGCCTCAATTCCCACAAATTATCGTCATGCCATACCAACTAGCCCAAGCTGCCACACTTCTAAGCTGTGGCTGGGTCAGCAGCCGAGCACCGTAACCACCAACACGGCATTGTGATGGGATTGACAACAAGCAATGCTTCTAAGAGAGAAGCATGCAATGACAAAAATACTGACACCACAGGTATAAAGTCTTATGTTAGATGATTACATTACAATTACAAGAGGGAAGTTACAATTACAAGACAGAAGCACGTGACGAGTCGACCTCGTAAGATCCGTCATCACTGTGGTCTCGGAGATTTTCAATCAGCGCCTAATCTGACATCCCCTTGGTGGTGACGACACGGTTGTCTGAAATTAAGAAACGTCACAGTTTCGCCACAAGGGCGAAGCAACAAATGCGATAGCAACAACTTTGAATGTAACGCTGAAAACAGCAAGCAGATTGAAACGTGCAACACACTGCTCACGCACAAATGACACACGAAAACAACGTACACAGTGTGAGAGCGAACTAACAATGGTTACCGCTCGACACTTAACACGCAGTTTAAGCAAAAACGAAGCATGAAATGTAATCACAGGTGCAGATATGAGTGCGAACTAACAAGTGCCCCAGTTGTTATTTCACTGTTAGAGGTATAGCGCATCCAGGAAGGGACGGAGAAGAAGACACAGAACACATACACGGCGCTTTCAACAATGCGGTTTAATCCGAGAAACAGCAATACTTATACCGAAACATGGCGCGTCACAACCACGCGCTAGGAACCAGAAAATTGTGATCTACTGCAACTCATGCGACATCCAAATAATGCAATTCTTTCAATGATAATGATACCGATGGCTTGCTTATACGTGCGTCCCCAAACTTAGCAATGAATTTCGCTTCTATAATGAGCCTTGTCATTTGGTTCGTGCTTCTTCCGATTATGCTGGTGCGATTAAAGAGGGGTTGGCACCCGAATTCTTTGCAGTGAATTGTAAGAAAAACCCTCAAGCTGTGCTATGGCCACGTTATTCTTATGTTCGTTCAGCCTATCATTGATGCATCTACCGGTTTGGCCTATATAGCATGCATCATATGTGACGCGCCATGTTTTGGTACTATACCTCGAACAACACAAATAACCAACAAGCCCACTGTGTAACTTTAGTTGTTATTTCGCTGTTTTTGTAAAGCCCACTCTTTTCGCTAACAGCACCTGTTCAGCGAGCGAAGTGATCTTTGTGCACCCGGCAATTAAACTGCAATCATTCCGGTTAAAGTAGAAGGCCAATGATTCTCTCCATCGAAGGATAAACACGCGCTGCACCAGCATCTACCCCGGGCAGCCAAGTGCGGGCGGCTTTTTTTTTTCTTTCTCAAGTTTTCATATATATAAATATGTATACATCTACGGTGAACAAAAGACCAGCCGACAGTGTCCACATGATTGCTGTCGCAATAAAAAAAAAAGGAAACAGGGCTGAACGTCGTCGAGGGCCACACCATGCCCGCGCAGTGAAACTATGCATGCACACATGGCGTCGAAAAACGAAGAGCTGATGACACACACACACGGATACCGTGGAAAACTATTCGGTAAAGCGCCCTCCTTATGCAGTGCGGCTCCACATATGTGACGTTAACTAAAAGCGTGGCACTGCCAATGTGCAAAAGTAGTTTTTGTTTGTGTGTTTGTTTGGAGTGGGGGGGGGGGGGGGGCACACTAGCGCATGCGCCCGTGGTGGTGAGAACGGCGGCAGCGCCGGCTGGTGGAGTCACGGAGCAAGAATACTTGGGCGGAATGTCAGGCCCGCCTGCCCGCCTTGCACTCACTCCCGCTTGGTGTGCTGTGCACGCCGCCGCTGCTTCGCGTTTCGTCGGCAGCGGGGCAGCCGCAAAAGTTGCATGCTGGTACCAAAATTTGAAAATGCGGAGCAAGATTCCTAAATTGTCCGTGGGGAGAATTCGTTATATCAAGGATGTCTCCCGCTGTTACTTTGTTACATAGAGGTTGCAAATACACTTGCTTTTATGGAGCAATAGCGGGGAATAGAAAAACTTCGTTATATCGAGGAATTCGTTATATGGAGGTTCGTTATAAGCAAGTATAACTGTAGAACGGTCAACCCGCAATGATTGTGATGCAGTGTGGGGTACTGGAACTGTCTTGCTGCTATTGTGACGGTCACGTATTGGCAAGAAAAAGGTTCTTTTGCGATATAACAACGGTGCAGTGATGAGTCAGCACTCTGTCTTTCTGAATAGCTCGATGTATTGCAATTATCTTCACAACAGCATGGCATGTTTTCTTTCTTCCAGAGGATGAGAAGAACTTTGCACTGGAGTACTATGGGCCTGGCTCCAAGTGCTTCAACCACAACAAAGAGATGTGGCAGGAACGCACTTGCAGCCAAGTGCGCCAGTGGCAGCATTGGGGCAGTGGTTGTTATAGGGTGAGCTGGTGGTATTCTATGGTCATGCCCAGTTACTTCTACCACTCCTTGCATTTTACTTTTCATCTGTCTCGCAACTGTTATACAAGTTATAGTCACTAAACATTCACCGTCAGTAGTTCACTGTAAGATGCTGCTTCATTTTCGAGATTTATGTACTGTGTATACTGAATGATTTAATTTATCTGGTAATTGAATTATACAGGCTTTCACTGCACTTTGTGTCCCATTTTTGTGCTATTCGTATCTTACGCAGTACTTGTGCTCTAATGGGCGACTGCACATAGAGGTGGCCAACCACACATACACGTGCTACCACTCCAAGCAAGAGATCCGGATCCAGCTGTATGCCAACGGCTGGCTCCACATTGGTGCTATTGTGTGTCCATCGTGCCGCGATGTCTGCACAGTAAGAACACGTTCCTTCACTCGTTTTTAAAACTACTGTACTGTGTCTAGATCATCGGGTAGCACAAAGCTTGGCGACTGTCAGGGAATCTGCCCTTGTTTTCACATACTGTGGTGTGATGCTGCAAAAAATGAATGTGTGGGAGTGATTTCTGGTAATGGCGGCCACATTTTCATGGAGGCAATATGTAGAAACACTTGTGTACTAAGATTAAGTTGTTCAATTAAGGAACCCCAGTAAATAAAAATTAATCTGGAGTCTCCCACTGTCAGTGGCGTACCAAAGCGGGGGGGGGGGGCAAACTTACCTCTCTCGTCAGATATATATATATATATATATATATATATATATATATATATATATATATATGTGTGTGTGTGTGACTTATGAACTGATGGTTAGGAGAAGTAGAGGAAGAAGAAGTGCTTATAGAATAAACGTGGCGTATGAGGCAGGCCACGTTTCCCGGTCATCATAGCGTCCTACGAGTCGACAGGATGAAGACCTGGCCGCCGCTTATCAGCCTCACATTATTCACGAAACCACAGGCAATACGCCTCAACTGAATATCGACCACAGGAGAGGTGATCTCAGCCGCATGCAGATACCGGCATCATGACAGAACCATCGACTGACCTTCCCATCCCCAAGTACACCGGAGCAGTAGACGATGGACCTGTACAGGACTGGTTCGACCTGTTTGAGCTCCACGCTGCCGATGCATCATGGTCGGAACGGGAGATGATCATCAACTTTACCGACTACATCTCCCGTGAGGCTTTCAAATTCTACCTCACCCACATATTTCGAAACGACGAGTCATGGCAAAAGATCAAAAAAGAAATGATCGTTTGGTTTACAGAATTCGATGACGACTACGACGAAGACTCGCTTATAACCCACCATCCACAGACAACCGCACTCGGTCGTCATAGTCAAAAGCAGGCTTCACGTATTGACCAGCCTCCTGCTTTTCCATCGTGTGGATCTTCGGTCGCTCACAACGCCCAGCTCAGGTCTCACATGTTCACTATGGTCGGAATAGAGCAGAGGAGCTCGCAGCGTACTCAGTTAAGCCCGTGGACCTACAGTTCAGTTCCATTTCCCAGAAGAGCTCGCATCATTCATTGCACAGAAAGACAGTCATTCCCAACTAGAATCTGACCAAACCACGCCTACTGCGTTGTCGCCATTGAGTGCACAGCCATCTGAAAGCCCAAACACAGGAGGCACGGAAGTGACTCTGACAGGTTGCCAGGTGCCAGAAGCCAACGTAATTAATGCTGTCGAAGGTGCCTCTGGTGTTCGTCCAGTCAAATCCGTCCTACCAACTTCACTGCCTAAAAAGCGTTGCAATTGCAGCTGCCGACAAAGCACCACATCAAGTTGTCAAGAAAACCAGTGCGATGTTCAAGAAGGGATCCCACCGCAACACAGTTCCACAGCAACATCAGCAATGCCAGCAAAAGCAAGTCCAGGAATCGCAGACACTCCAACGGATACACCGACAAGGACGACGACGCAGAGTAAGTCTCTTAAAACAAATTCAAGACGTGAGGCATCTTTGCATATTGGATCGGGGCTAAAAACGCATTTGGCGCAAGAAATCAAGAATGCGCCTACGAATACAGCTCCGAAACCACAGAAAACGACGAAAGAGACGAGAAGGCACCATCTGTACAACACAGAGACCAAAACACAATTCCTATCAGCTGCAACCATCGCACACGCAAACTTAAAGCACACTGTCTGTTCCTGCCACGACACACAACTCGACGCCTTCTACATCGGAACTTCAAATGCTACAGCGACTCCCACTCTTGTCCGTTCCTCGCAAGAACTCAACCCATGTCAACACCAGTGCAGATCTCGAGGGTGTGGTTATGCCATCCAGAACGCAACAGTCAGCCTCGCCCACCAGAACTCCTGCGTTAACCGGACTGCTGCACTCTCCCCTGAAGTCTGAAAGTTTACGGAACTCCTCTGGAGCATAGAACCAATTGTGACTTTTGACATTTGTGACTTTTCAACCTCTCCTTGTTTACTTTCTCTTGTTCATAATTCATGTCTCTTTTGGGGGGAGGGGGAATCGTGTGACGTATGAAGCGATGGTTAGGAGAAGTAGAGGAAGAAGAAGTGCTTATAGAACAAACATGGCGTATGAGCCAGGCCACGACGTCTCCAGCCATCATAGCGTCATATATATATATATATATATATATATAATATATATATATATATATATATATATATATATATATATATATATACACACATATATTTTGTATCTGGGGCAGTAAATGACAATTTAACTAGCCCGACTCTTAATTAGACCTGTATTGTGCTAAAAACACGGTTTTTCACCTTCTCCCTTGTCCTGTGGGTCAGGCTACAGAGTAAGCTTAACAGCTGAGCTTCCCACTGTACCAGAGTCCACTGCTTTATACGTTGCCACTTTGCAAACTGCGGCCATCGCTCCTAGTTACCATAAGCAAGGCTGATCAGGTTTGTCAGAGACTTGAAGCGCAAACCTTTTTTTTGGCGCTTTCAGTAGAACAGAACTATAACATTTAAAAGATTTCGTCACAATCATCGGCTCACAGCATCTTCGACAGAGCAAAGATGATGCTATTCGTTTTCGATGAAGGAAAATGATTTTCCTGAAGCTGCAAATGCTCTAATTGGTCCATAAAATGATTGCTTGTTCCCATTCATTACAAAGCAAGCAAAGCATCCGTAACAAATCAGTACGTGCTTTCATGCCTTATACTGTAACCTGCTTTGCAATGCTATAGTACAAGGCGCGAAAGCGACGCATAGGCGGCCCGCAAGGCAAAGAGCCTTCAAGGAAAATTGTCACAGCAGAAATGTGGAGACAATTTATATTAAAACATTCCCTGGTAACATTTTCATTTCCTCATAACAATATAATTGAGCGATTACACTGGGCAAAAAAGTTTTGCCTTAGTTGATTGTTTCCCCAGCCTGCAGTTGACAGTGACGACTGTCGAACGTGGTGGGGCTCAGCCCCTCCAGCTTTTCTCAGTAGGGGGGGGGGGCTCGTGCCCTCTTGCACCCCTGGCTGATATGCCTAAGCCCACTGTCATCATTACATACCTGCCAAGTCTCCCAGATTTCAACCTTTCTTACATTTGTATGGTTGTCATAAAAGTGTCCCGGAAATTGAAAGTTCTATGCGCTTCTGGCTGCATTGACGAAAATGCCGGCCAATCCAATTAAGGCTTTTTGCGAACCCATTGCATCTTATTTTAAACTAATTGAGGGGTCATTCATCGAAACGTATAGTAGACTCACATGGATGTGAAAGCGGCAGATACGAATTTGCGAAATTCCCCGACGAAATTCCTCTGTGTTCATTGGCCCAAAATTCAGATGTTCCGAACACTATTCTTCACATCGGTGGTTGCTATGAACTTTAGTACCGAAGCTGTTGGACGAAGGCCAAGAGCAGCGTGCTCGAAGCTTTGAAAATACAGGTGCACCAGCGCACACACTGCAGTGCATGTGCTTGTCGTTTGCCGCAGCTGCTAGGCACTAATCTGTGGTCATTCTGGACACGGATCATGTATGGCAACCAGCTGACAGAACTTCGAAAGTGTGCGCACCTTTGACGCTGTATCAGTCAAAGTTGGAAAACACTATCCTCGTTTGTTTGGCCACTCCAAGCCATTATAAGACCACAGTGCTGATTTTTACGCTTGCGGGGCTGTTGGGACCCTTCCTCCCTCTTTTGTTTTTCGCGATGTTCTTTGTTTTCTTGTGGTGCAAAAAAAAGGAGGAGGGCAAATAAATGAGCATGACTGACTCCCCCACCCCCCCCCCCCCCCTTCAGTTTTGGAAGTCTCCCGGATTCAGAATCCTTGAACTTGGCATGTATGTCATTAGTGTCAGCCTTACCACGCTCGTGAGATCGAATTCCAGCAGGTGTGGCTACATTCTCAATAGAGGCGAAAATGCTGTTGGCCTGTGTGTTCAGATTTGGATGCACTTTAAAGAATTCCAAGAGGTCAAAATTTCCAGATCCCTCCACTACAGCATGTCTCATAATTATATGGTGGTTTTGGGACCTTAAACCTCACATATAAATCAATCAGCATTACTACGTCCACTGCACGACAAAGGCCTGTCCCATGTTCTGCCAACGACCCGGTCCTGTGCTTTCTGCTGCCACTTTATACCTGCACACTTCATCTCATCTGCCCACCTAATTTTCTGCCCCGCCGCGGTGGTCTAGTGGCTAAGGTACTCAGGCTGCTGACCCGCAGGTCGTGGGATCAAATCCCGGCTGTGGCGGCTGCATTTCCGATGGAGGCGGAAATGGTGTAGGCCCGTGTACTCAGATTTGGGTGCACGTTAAAGAACCCCGGGTGGTCGAAATTTCCGGAGCCCTCCACTACGGCATCTCTCATAATCATATGGTGGTTTTGGGACGTTAAACCCCACAAATCAATCATGCCCACCTAATTTTCTCTCTCACTCTCATTCATTTGCATTCTCCGGGAATCCAGTCAGTGACCCTTAATGACCAGGAGTTATCCTGCCCATGACCATTTCTTCTTCATGACCTCAACTATGATATGGTTAGCCCCGGGTTTGTTCTCTGACCCACTCTGCTCTCTTTTTGCCTCTTGAGGTAACACCTGTCATTTCCCTTTCTATCGCTCGCTGCATCGTTGTCAATTTAAGCTGAACCCTCTTTGTAAGCCTCCAAGTTTCTGCTCCGTAGGTAAGTACTGGCAAGATTCAGCTGTTATATACCTTCCTCTTTAGTGTTAGTGACAGATTACCATTCTAGATTTAGAATGCTTGCCAAATGTGATCCACCCCATCTTTATTATTCTAGTTATTTTACTCTCATGGTTTGGCTTCGCGGGTACTACTACCCGCCCCAAGTAGACATATTCCTTTACAACTTTCAGCGTCTCTCCACTTATTGCAAAGCACTGTTTGCTGCCGAGACTATTGCACATTATTTTAGT